AAAGCAATTATTGGTTATCGTTCCCTGCTAAGAGGCTTTGTGTCGAAAAAAGGATCTTTTGTTCTTAAACAATTATTTTTTTCAATTGTTTGATTTAATTATTGAGCTCATGAGTTGAATAATTTAATCACATATATTGATTTTAAATTAATAGAAAATTTATTCTTTCAGATATTCTTTCAACTGTCATATTTTGAGTCAATCAGATTAAGGCCTTTCACTATATCTCTTCTTACATCCGATGATAACATCTTATTAGTGATGGCTAAACCGGCCCGGCCCGAGACCGTCGGAGGACCGGAACCAGGACCGGCCCGGCCCGGGACCGGTAAGGACCGATTATAGGACTAAATGAGTGACCGGTTCATGATTTGGAAGGTTTTGCGAGATCGGTTATGGCCCGACCCGGAAATTCAAAAAATGTAGCCGTTAGAGAGCCGTTTTTGTTTTTGTTTTGGTTGAGGGGTTTATATACCAAATTCTCAATTCGCAAAAAACGCAAAAAAAAACGTTCGCAGTTCTCAGTTTCTCGCTATATTTTGTGAATTCAACTCCTATTCATTTCTCGTTTCCATTTCACAATTCGCATTTGTTTCTCTCTTTGTTTTACAAAATGTCCGGTGAATAACATGTATCACTAGTTCTCGCTGAACACGAACGTAAGTCCAAGATTTGGAATCACTACAACTTGGTGGTCCTCACGAATGGGAAAAGAAAGACACAATGCAAAATGTATCAAGCTCTCCTTATGGCGGAAGGAAATTCTATCTTAAGGAGGCACACCGAAAAAAACGTGTCCGGAGTTGAGGTCGGGGGCGATTCAAGCCAACCGATATTTGACACTCAAAGTCAAATATGGTCGTATGATGATGAGTTGAACCGATAAATGACAACATAATATGTCATTCAAGTCGGGTTGCCTTTCAGACATTTCGACAACCCTCACGTTACGAAGTTGATCCAAAAAACACTACAACCACGATACAAGTCAGTAAATCGTCAAACCCTTAGACGTGATGCAATTAAAATGTGGAAAATGTGTCGAGCTGAAAAGCAACAAATGTTTTCTCTTTTGTCTAACAATATTTATTTAACGTGTGATGTATGGAGCACATCATATGGATTGCCGGTATCTTATATATACATAACGGCACATTTAATTGAGCATTCATCGTGGCATTTATTCAAATGTGTAATCGCGTTTGACCCGTTTAGTGCGCCACATTCAGGTATACGTCAATTTTTAATTATTAAAAAATGTCTTGCATTTATAATTTAGCTACTAAAATAATTAGCATTTCATTTGATAACGCTAGTAATAACAATCTATGTGTGAAAAATTTAAAGTGTCATTTGACACCTATTTTAAACGGTAAATTATTTCATACACGTTGTTGTGCACACATAATAAATTTAGCCGTTCATGACGGTTTAAATACTTGTAAACCCGTAATAGATAAGTTTAGACTTATGTTGCAGCGAATTTTCACAAAGGGTAAGAAAATGAATGCGGAATATAAAAAGTATTTTGATGACGTTGGTTTCATAGCTTTGGGATCGAAGTTCGATATTGGCCATTCTTTGTAATTCGACTTATTTTATGATTGAAAATTTAATAAAACAAAAAAAATCATTTTATAGACACCATTATCAGCAAAATTCTATTGGAAATTTTGATTGGGCCGTGGTTGAAAGATTGTACGATATTTTAGGCGATTTTAAAAATGCGAGATATTTTTTATCCAACAAGCCATTTAGTTTTAAACCAATTATATATTTTGGCAAGTAAGATTGCAATACGAAGACCATCAAGATTGGGGAAGGTTGACGAGTTCAATGAAAAAAAATTGTTAAAATATTTTATGAGCATCCCGTTTGTTTTTCTTTGTGTTGTGGCGTTAAACCCGTATTTAAATTTTACCGATGTTCAAGTTTTAATTACATAAATATGTGTGGCTTTTGGTTTAGACACGGCTATCGGATAATTCTTTTTCAATGGAACAAAAACGTTTGTTTAATCGTAATTTTCAAGATTTATTTGATCATTATAAACATTTTTATGGAGGAGGAAACCAACAACAAAGCTCTTCAAGTCGTGGGTTTGCGGGTTCTAGTTTTTCTTCTAGTGGTCATCGACAAAGTCGGAAAGAGTTTATGACTAATTTAATGAACGAGGTTTTAAACGAATCAAGTAAAAAAGTTGATTTGATAACGATTTGGATGAATTAAATATGTATGTGCATACTAACTTTATGGTCGCATGTCCCGCAAATAATGTCGAAGATTTTGGAAAAAAAAAATTTGATCTATTAGATTTTTGGAAACAAAAACAACCTCAATTCCCGGTTTTGGCATCCATCGCACATGATATACTAACAATCTAAGCTAGTACCGTAGTTTCGAAGTATGTTTTTTCTCTTAGTGACAAGATCATTTTCATACGTCAGACAAGACTAAACCCAAAGTCCGTGGAATGTTGCGTCTGTTTGAAGGATTACTTGGATAGTGTTGATAGTATTCAACACACGACATTGTTAGAGATGGAGATTAAAGCGGTGGAAGAAAATTTGGAATAAAATGAAATTGCTATGGGACCAAGCACGCCGCCAACTACCAATACCGACGGTACTTACTCATAATTTGACGATGATGAGGAATTCGACATTGATGATCTTGATGACTAAGAGGCTATTAGAAGAATTCAAAACATCGGAACTCTTCAAATCAATCCGACATGGGATACCGATGATGATTAAAGAATAAATGTATTTTCAAATAATTTTATAATGTATTTTTGTAAGACAATGTAATTTTACTTATAATAAAACGCATTTTTAAAGTGTATTTGAGTGATTCAATTACAAAATGTATAATGTATTAAAAATACATATCATTAAAAAATTTAAAATATATATATATATATATATATATTTTAATACTCGGGACCGGCGGCCCATAACTGCTTGTGAACCACCTTGTCCGGTCTTACCATTTTCGATCGGGACTGGTTTGGCCGGTTTTGAAAAAGTCTGGGACCGAATAGGCCCGCCCGGCCCGGGACCCATTTTTGGCCATCAATACATCTGATGATGATATTTGGTAAAAGACATGTAATTTTGCACTAATGGTCAACGCAAGGATGTGGCAGGAACGTGGTTTGCTGCTTTAGGTCGTAACCAAAGTTGTGTATATCAAAAGTGATTTTATATGTCATTTTAGTGTAAAGTCACATGTTATTCGACCATTTTATTATTTTTCTATTTAGTTATTGTTTTCATATGAGCATATATATACATATATGTGTGTGTGTATATATATATACCCATACACATATATGTAGGGGTATAATCAAATGAGAACTTCATATATTATAATAACCATGAAAACTTTTTGTTGTAAGGTATTGTTTCACATAATTTTTCCATCTAAGGCTAGATTTTAAAATATTGATTAAACATATATCTGTTTCACAATGTGTTTGTTTCATATTTATTTTTGTTCATGTTGTGAAACTTTCTATTTGTATTTTTGGTTTCATAAATGTAAAAACGTTCACGTTATAAAATATATATATGTTAATCTACATCATAAATCTTAAGCCATAGATAGAAAAAATCATATGAAATAACATATGATTCACTTATTCATCAGATTCTCACAATTTTACGGGTTATCAAATGGTTAGCCCCTATATAAGGTTGAATTCTGACGACAAAAAACCTTTTGACAAGAATAAATCGGAGTCATTTTTTTTTATTAACCTGAATATCTAACTCGTTATGCGAGCTGACTAATCCCAGGGTGACCACCTGCTTTGCAGATAACTCAGAGTCACCGCATATGAACCTCCGTGACCACAAGGGGATTTTTATTCCTCCTTGAATTTGAACCTGTAACCTCCAGGTACTTTTGACCTTTGGAGTCAAGCTCAAACCAATTAGACACTATTTTATGATTACAAATTAAAGTCATTAATCTCTTTTATTCCAAGAAACCGTATTACCATGACTGAAAACTTATCTAATTTATGCAAGTGAATATGCATAAAAAAGTTGGTGAAGAAAAGATGAATGTGTGAATGCAAGTGGATGAAAAGGCTAAGGTGAAGATGTGAATGTCGGTGGATAAACGTTAATGAAGATCATTTAATAGTTTTAGGAAAAGACAACTTCTGAATCGTTAATAGATGAATTTTGTTTGACAAAAATAATATGTCTCTTAATAGATCTAAAACCCTCTAAATAATTTTGTATCTTGAATCTCTCTTAACCATTCAGCACCCTAATTTCGTTATGAACAATTAACCAACAATTATATTTCATTTGCATTATATCATAAAAGACTCTTAATCATTTTAATCAATTAATCATTATGCACCAAAACATTCAGCAACTGTCAAACAACTCCTAAGAATATCATCTCTCCCCTACAACCTCTACGTTGTGACAGTTAAGCCTTAAGATGAGATCCCCTACCCTTTACATAAATCCGTCATAATTAAGTTTGTCTCGTAGCTTTTAAGAAAGAGATCTTTGGGTATAAGAGAATACGAGATACATGTAACATCAAAACAAACAAACCCAATATATTTCAAGTATATATATATATATATATATATATATATATATATATATATATACACTTGTACATTCAAATTGATTCTATGGTTGAGTTTTTTTTGGGGCAATAAGTATGGACAAAATAAGCCTATTTGAGATTACTTGTTCCAATGTTTCACTCCTTGTGTCACATCACTTTTCACCACTGCAATTATGCCTGCAGAAATAATAGTGCAATTCCATCACTACCATGACTTAAAGTTCAAGTTTTCTTGATTTCTTCTTCCATGCCTTCCATCTTTCTTTCAATATACATGACCCCAACCCTCTACCCCTGCCCCACCCCCCACACATACTATAAGGTTACTTTCAAGCCCCTGATAAGTCAAAATCCGTAGGATCTTCCATTCTTGATAACTCAATATCTTGAGCTTCACCCTCCTACAAATATTGTCAGCCTACACACAAACAATATCTCTTCATCCCACCAAATCCTTTCACTTTTCTATGCAAGTTCCATCTCTTTAAAATCAAACCCAAATTTCCACCAAGAAAGGCACTCAGATTGAGTGAATAGTAAATACCCATGAAGGAAACAGGGAAATCTGTGGAATCAGATCAAGATTACACCAACTTCTGCCCAGATTACAACTTGTATTATTCATCATCATCAGGTGTTCCATGTAAGAAACACCCATCTTCATCCCCAGTTGGAATATGTGCATACTGTCTCAAAGACAGGCTCATGAAGCTTGTGTGCTCTGATTGTGGAGAACAGAGGCTTTCTTCATGTTCTTGCTCTGATGTGTCTTCCTACAGAAACTCATCTTGCACTGTGGATGTTGGAAGTGTTGGCAGGATCTCGTTTTTGATCGAAAATGAGAAGGGGGGTAGTGGGGATGAACAGCAGAAAACGCTTTTTTCACACATAAAGCAGATCAAGAAAAGGGAAACAGAGGATGTGATTCTGCTGAAAAGGAGCAATAGTTGTGTTGTTGAGGTGAAGAAGAGCAATGGGTTCTGGAGAATTGGGAAGCTTTTCAAGAAGAAGAGAGAGAAAGAGGGCTGTAGAGAGAGAAACAGAGATGGGTTTGATGATAAAAGTGAGATATGGGTGTCGGATTGTGTGATGGATGTGTCAAGATCCAGGTCTCTTTGTAGCTTTAGGGGCGGTGCCAATTTTGATCATGAAGGTGGTAGTGTTAGTGACATGGCTTATTCAAGTGCAAAAATCTCTGATTTTAATGAATCTGAGCCAAGAAAGAGTGGATTCAGAGGTGGTTTGATGGATTTTGAAAGTGGGTTTGCTGCAAAAGAGAGTGAATTCAGCAGAATCCATGATGATTCAAGATTTATTGATTTAAAGCTTGATTTATCAGATGAATCAAAACCAGAACACCCTGTTTTCAAGAACCCACCAGATGGTGGTGGTGGTGGTGGTGGTGGTGGATCATCATCATGTAGAATTACAGTGAATGATAGGGGGATTAAGAAGGGAAGCAAAGGGCATAGCAAGGTGTGGAAGTGGATTTTTAAGCAACATTCTGGGAAGAAAGATATGAATCACATATTGGAATCTTGAAGATTGCAAAAGTCAAAGTAAAAGTCAACAGCTGGTTTAGTGTTTTTTTTTAGAGATTTAATAGATGAAGAATGTTAATTGGTTGTGTTAGTGTGTCATGTTGATGTAATTCCTTATGCTTCAACTCAATTTCTAGTGAAAATCGTATCATAATTTCAACATCATTCATATGTGAATTTTGAAGATTTTGTATGCATCATTGTTATGAGAATAAGATAAATAAGCTCTCTACAAACGTCTCAATTTTACTTCAACTTTCTTCTAAGTGTGAATGTTTGGATTGGTTGTTTGTTTACTCTTTATAGTTTCATTAAGAGACAACCTTAAAAGTGAATCTTGTTTGGTAAAAAAAAAATCTGGTTTTTAATGGTTCTAAAACTCTCTGAATGATTTTGTATCATGAATCTTCCTTAACCATTAAGAGCCTTAATTTCATTGTACACAATTACCAAACAATTATATTTCATTTTACACTATATCATGAGAGCCTTTTAATCATTCTGACCACTTAATCATTATGCACCAAACCGTTCAACAATTGTCAAACATCTCCTAATTTATATCACACGAGACTTTAAAGATAAAAAGAGCCATTGCTTACCTCTTTAACGGTGTCCTCCTATCACATCTATACCCCTTTTCCCGCTACACACTCACTCAAGCTACGCTCGCTAAGCAAGATGCATCGGGGTCAAATCTCCCATGTGAATTCTACATTCTTTAACTGAGAATATTTTACACGTAAATACAAAATATTACAAGTTGAAATAACAGCTATAAAATCTTTCAGTGGTTTGAAAGGACTTTAACCGGTAGTTTTTAAATACCAGATCCAAAATCTTACATTTTAAACAGAAATGAAGATAAGGTATGTGTCATCGATACTGGTTTTAATATTGTCTGGTTTCTTAATCTTCATAAAATTCCTTATTTTGTATGGTATTTTATATATTTATTTAATATATATTAAAAAAATAAACATTTTATTGGGTTTTTTTTCAAAAGAAACATAAAATGAAGTAAATTTAAAACATTTAAATTGTAAATTCCGGCATGTTTAATTTAGAGAGATGTTTTGTACGTTGGTTCCCTTTCATGGAACAGGAACATGCGAGAGATATCATGGTAAAACCAAAAAAGCGATTTTCTTATATTCAAAAACAAAATAAAAAATATTTTATTATTAATTAATAGAATTTTTTTTTATTAACCTAGATATCCAATTTGTTATGTGAGCCGACTAATCACAAGACGACCACCTGTTTTGCAGATAACCCAAAGTCACCGCATTTAAACCTCCATGGTCACAAGAAGATTTTTATTCTTCCTTGGATTTGAACCTAAAACCTCCTGATACTTTTGATCTTTGAAGTCAAACTCAAACCTATGAAGCATCACTATTGTAGTTAATTAATAGAAATTTAATATCTAAATAAAACCAATTTTTTATTTTAAAAATTAAAATAATAAAATAAACTTTGTTTTCATTTTTATTTTAAATATTAAAAATAAAATAAACTTTCTTATTTTGGATATAAATAATGTGGATTAAATTTGGTCCTTGTTTTTGTCAAAAATATATTTTCCATTTTTCCAGTTTCAAAATTATTTCATGACCATCATGGTTTACAAAAACGTATAGATTTTGTTTTAAATTCTAACGAGACCGTTAAAGATTTATTTAAATGAGAGTATTTTTGTATTTTATATATATACCAATTTATCAAAACATGGAATTTTAGAAGCACATATAGACCAAAAAACATGAAAATGGGTGCTTCCATAAAGGGAAAGCATGTTAGACAAAGCCTGCATTCAGACTATTATTACATCACTACTTTTTATTCATAATTATTTAAATCCAAATATTTTGTGTCTTTTTTTAATCATATTTAGGTTTTTTATTTTGGTTATGAAATTTACAAGTTTGGATGTAAATCCTTTATTTAAAACAACAATTGTTTCCTAAGGGCTTGTTTACTAAATAAATATCTAATAAGTACTTATCGGATAATTTTTCTTACTGGATGAATATGGTAAGGGTTAAAATTTTGTCCGGTAAGAGCAATGATATAGATGGAAAGTCTTACTCGGTAAGTGATGATGATGATTTTTATCCGGATAAATTGTTGCATACGGTACCCCTTTGATGTATTACAATTTTACCCCATAAAATAAATTATAGTGTTAACTCCCAATATTAGGTGCTTAGCGGGTAATCATTTAGGTAAACGGCTCCTAAATTTGTCTTTTGAAAATAATGCAATTGTTAACTGTGATATCATACATTAAAATTGAATTAACTCGTTTTCATTCTTATGATTCAAATCGTTTTTTTATTTAAAAGATACAATGACTAAATTCATGTTTATAAAATCCAAACGATATCAAATTTGGTTCATTTTTCTTCGGTTATGGAATTCGGGATTAGTTTGATGGTGATGTTGAATTCTCATTTCCACCCTCGATGTTTCAAAAAACAACCGTTCCCCACGTGGTGTTGGAACGATATGAATCGAACTAGTTCTTGATTCGGAAAGATGAAGGGGCAAAAATTCTAAATAGGGGGCTAAATAATGATCCATCTTATTGAAAGCGAAAAATGAAGCGACATCAAGATGTGACTTTACGCCTTTGAGTGCCCATAGATCCTTTGATTACAGCTCGACGAAAATCTGGTTCTTTCAATTGCAATGATTCGATAAACGGCTCATCGGGATAGATGTTGATGAAAAAGAACCTCGTGTCAATTGGCAATTCTTGGTCATTGAGATTCATGGTAATTCGGATTAATAAAATTGAGTATTTGTTTCCCTCCTTTTGCTGCAAGGATTGGAAATCATGTATTTTACATATCCATATGATTATGTTCTCGATACTCCAAAGCATAATTTTTTTAGAATATGAATAATTGTTCCATTTAAAATAAAATTTAGTTTTAGAAAACAACTGTTATATTTGAAAAGATTAAAAACAGAAATATTCACAATTCTATACAACAGATGTGTTGATTCGTACAGATAGCTTTGTAGATCAACAAGCCGTACAGTCCGTCTCTTATACACCAAACTAATTGGAAAATAGTTCTTTGGTTAATTATCTCATTGTATCTTTGGTATTTATCCCTTCGAATACGGGGACGTAGATAACTATATATTTCCTATGTTTATCATCTTTAGAATATGGTAACTTGGGTTGTATTAGTGTATACATAATTAGTGATATACGACATAGTACACACGATGAATTTTGTGACGGTATTAAAACTCTCACGACATATAATTTTATGCCTTCTTCTCATACCTGTCTCGGCCAACTACAATGGTTTCCTTGATGCCTGGCTCGAGACTTGGGTTGCGGTAGTTGTTGTATAGACCATCATGAACCCAAGCAATGGGACGCACGACTCTTCACACCACTTGGGGTCGCGGGATAGGTTGCATAGAGCTTGGATAGTACGTGGGCGACTAGTCGGTCACCCATGGTCGCGGACTAGGCCGCGTGGCTCAGCGATTTAAAGCCTTTCGGATCGGGTTTTGCTCATCTCTTCATCTTCTTCAATTCTCTCATGGTTTGGATGATTTTTAAAGTTTATGGTAATACTGAAAATATTGTGCAAAGTTTTGGATTGTTTACCAAACTCTTGGGAAAATTTAACTGTGTGTTCAAAAAACTCCAAAACTCGGCATCTTCTGACTTTCACGTCTTTGTTTTATACAACCACTGTTTGACTATGCGATGACAATAATTTTTTTCAAAAAATTATTGAAGTTAGCTAAATGAGTCGATGATCAAATTTATATATTAAGTTAATAAGAATCAAAATATTACCTTTGATATATGAATCCACCTTGTCATTATTGGTTGTTTTTGTAATATATATATATATATATATATATATATATATATAATAAGTGTTATAGATTAATCTTTTATCATATCAAACTTTGTAATTTGTTCAAAATCATAAAAAAAATGAAAATATTGATTATAATCGTGAGATGTATTATGAGAATTGTTTTGTCATAATACGTATCAATTTATCTCCTACATATATTATCATAAAATATTTATATTAACCAAACAAACATTGTATTGTTACCTACTTTGATATAATTGTTGAGTATTTTTGCAATTTGCTTATATTAGTCATAATATACTCATTTGCAACAATGACCAAAAAACTCATTGAAACCCTATTTTCCTACACACGATTGCACAAAGTGGAACAATAATAGCTAATATTATGACCATTCCACATACATAGGAATCTGATTGATTTGTTATTTTTTTCATTTGACTTGTTCAAGTTTTTTAGATTTGTTTTAGACAGTTCATAGTTTGGTTTCTCTGTAAAAATTCTTGAAAAAAGAGGTTTTAATAAAATTATGTATAATAAAAGATACGTATTATACTGATTCTAGGGTTAATTATATATAGAATTTGATTTTAGCTTAAATAAAAAATTAATTATATATAGGGGCTTAATCAAATGAGAACTAATTAGTTTGTAGTAACTGTGAGGTCCAATCTCAACCACAAATCAATAAATAAATTAAGAAATTTATAATTTTGGTAATTTTAAATTAAAATTTTAATACAAGGATATTTTAGGTATTTTAAAACTCTCCTCTCTCCATCCCATGTCCTCCAGCCACCCTCCTCCTGCCACCCTCCTCTGGTGATACCACAGTGGTATTACAATGCATCTTATATGTGTTGGGGATTACACTGGGGTTGTTTGTGTGGTCGATCGAAGATGTAACATAGTGGTATCACAATATATCTTATATGTGCTTGAGTATCACATTGTATCTTTTATTTAACAGAGTCAATATTTTTAGGTATCACAATAGTATCACCGGAGGACGGTGACCGGAAGATGGAGGACGGAGAAAGAAGAGAGGAGAGAGGAGATAAAATACATAAAATGTCATTGCATTAAAATTTTAATTCAAAATTATAAATGTCCTAATTCATCTATTGATTTGTTGTTGAAATTGGATCTCACGGTTACCACAAACTAAGAGAGAGAGGAGCGTTCAAATAAAAACTTGACTCATTTGTGTAAACCGTGTAAACCAATCTCATCTATTCATTTTTTTGATCAATGGCTAAAATTACATTACTTTATTTTAAGAAATTAAAAATTAAAAAGTA